CAGAACAGAATATCTTGTGTAGATGATCAGTCGTCGGCCTTCCAGAACAGTCCGAAAGACTTGTACCGCCCGCATGATAGCAATAACCTCCTTCTCGGCAATATGATACCGGAGTTCTGCATCATTCAAAACGCGTACCGTGTACCGAACAGGTTGTATCTTTCCGTCGTATTCTTGTTCTACGACTGCACAAGCAGCCCAACGGTTCGCGTGTGGAATGATCACAAATGGCTTTTGGATGTCCGGATGTCTCAACATTGGCGTCGCAACGATTTTCCTTTTAAGCAGTTCGAATGATTCATGAGCTCGCGAGAGGTCTCGTCCCTGACGTATCTGGTCTTCGGAAAGTTCATAGAGGACTGCTGGTCTTCAATGAACTTATGGTAGTAGTTCAGACTTCCAAGAAACGATAGCACACCTTCGTGAGATTTAGGGAACGGTAGATCCATAACACCTTTCGCAACTTTTGGGGTCGCTCGGATACCTTCTGTACTAACTTCATGTGACAGATAGGGGATCGATCGTTTTCCAAACTCGCTCTTTGGTAAACTCACCGATATACTCCAGTAACGTAAGCGATAGAGCAAAATGTTCAAATCCTGACAAAGTTGATCCCATGTTTTCGCACCATGAGCAATGTCATCAATGTAAGAACTGCGTCCTAATACTGGGCCAATATGTGAGGGCATCGGGATGTTCCTCTGGAAAACAGTCATGGAATCTGTGAGTCCCTTCACTTCGTCTCTTGGACCTCCACTTTCTGATTCTTGATTGTCTGTAGGATCCAAACCTAGAAAATCCAAAACATCTTAGTCGACTTCTGCTTCCTCTTCCGGAGGCAGTCTCACGAATCCCCATAGACAATTATTGATAACCGACTGATATATCAATGGCGCATTCTTGAGTCCGAATGACATGCGAGCCCATGGAAAATGTCGAAATGGACAGACAAACGCCGATATTAGCTTTGCTCTTTCGGACATCTTGACCGCCCAAAAGCCGCTCGCCATATCCAAACTCATAAACCACATGACATCCTCAAACCCAACCAGCAGATCATCTATCAACGGTAGAGGATAATTGGACAACGTAGTGAATCCATTGACAATTCGGTAGTCGACACAAATTCGGATATCAACACCATTTTTCTTGAGGACAATCACAATGGGTGATGCCCATCGTGATTCTGAGTGCTCGATGAGTCGGGTTTCCAAACGTTTCTTCAGCAGTTCATACACTTTGATTGATAAGTGTGGTGCAACAGATCAGGGACGTTGAGCGACAGGGTTCGCATCTCCAACATCCAAATCACAGGTCACACCTCGCGCCGGAGCTGGAACAGCATTCCCATCTCCCAGAAAGATGGCTCGATGATATTTCAGGATCGCTCGTAATTTTCGCTCGTCTTCTGGAGTGCTCGTCCCGGATTCACCAACGTCAGCTGAATCAATATCACATTTCGGAGATAAGTCTTCTATATCCGGAAGCAACGCGAGTTGTTCTCGGAGTTGCGATAACGTTTCGCTCCCTTCATGAAAATAAACTGCGGGCTCGAAGTCCAATTCTTCAGCACTTATTCGCATGACACGTTCGTACTCTAACTCAAGCTGCTGAATTGGCGTACATGCCATCACTGACACCGGCAGGTCCGAAAGATATCATCCTCGAGTTCCACTCTTGGAATGTCCTCCAAGATAACTTCTGGAAAACCATCTTCAACACTAATTGAATCGAAAAATTCATCGTCATCGGAGTTCTGGTCATATAGTACTTCCTCAACCTCACCTGTTGGAACATCCGTTGTTTCATCTTCAACTTCCGAAATCTCACTCACTACAGGTATTGTCGTCGTCACTACTGGCGTCCTCATTGACAACCGCTCGCCTACTTCAGATGTTTCATCATACACTTCACTTGGGACTATCTGAAAGTTGTTCACTCTCGCTTCCTCGCAACCAGGCGATGGGCGAACTATCATCTTAGTCGGCCACGGGTAGTTCGGCGTTTGGACGGCTGGTGGTTCCATCTTCTGAAGGTCGTC